GGCTCGTTTTTTGGCTCGATGCACGGTTGTAGACGATACACCCAGCTTATTTGCGGCATCTCGGAGAGAGAGGTTAGGGTTTCGCTTGAAACTACCGGCAACTCTCTTTGTCGTCTCAGCGGCTTCCGGTTTTCGATTTCCCCCCGATCCAGACTTCCTGGCTGTCGACAAACGTTCCCCAAACACTTTAATTACATTTGTAACGGTTGATTTGGCAACTTTTAGCGATTTTGCCAACTTTGCGTGCGAGTAGCTCGGATTTTCGCGATGCGCGAGCAAAATTTTGATACGCTGCTCTTCTTGCTTGGACGGCATTTTGACAACTGAAGAGTGAATTCCAAAATCAAAATAGGAGCAACATTCTACACACACATACCTTCAAAATGAGGGGTGTTCAGGTTTTTTAAATGCAAAATTGAAAGAAATACGTCAAGTTGATATTGACCAAATTTTGACCGTATCACCCTTTAAATGAGAAATCTCCAGAATCACTATAATTTATTCCGGAATCCTGAATAAATAAATGGAATTCTCTCCTAATCACAACTGGGATTCTTCTCTAATCCTAAATGGTACACCTAGAATCCTAAAAGGGATTCTCCCGGAATCTCAAACGATATTTTCCCAAAATCCCAAATGGAATTCATCGGAACCCCAATTTGAAATTCATTAAAATTACAAATAAGAATATATCAGAATCCTGAATGGGATTTTCCCTCAATCCCACATTGGACTATAATGAAATCGAAAATTTGAAATAACCGATATTGTAGTTGCAAATAAATCTGAATTCCAAATTGAAATTTTTCTGACTTACAGGTGGGAAATCTTCAGAATTCCATTTGGGAATTATTCTGAATTCCCAATGGGAACTTTTCTGAATTATTAATTGGAATTCTCTGGAATCTCACAAGTAAATATCCCGAAATCTGAATAATAAATCCTCCAGAATCGCAAATTATATTCTCCCGGAATCACAAATAGGTTGTCTTCCAATTCTTCGGAATTTCAACTGGGATTTCTTTAGAACCCCAAATGGAAATATTCAGGAATCAGGAAGATTTTCCCGATATTATAAATGAGATTCTGATGGTATTCCAAAACTGTTATCTCTGAATTAATTATTTTAAATCCTCCGGAATTCCATACCTGTAGGCTCCGGAATTGATCATAGGAATTTACCACCAAATAATAAATAATAATCAAGAATTCCAGTTGATTTTTTTTTTCTGAATTCAAAAAGCATATTCGGATCTGGAATTCCTTCTTTTGAATTGCAAAATGGAATTATCCACGATCCCACAAGGAAAAATCTAGGAAGGGACTGTTCATGACAAACGTAGACACCATAGAGGGTGGAAGGAGGGTTGATTACCACGTCTACGTTCTGATGAATGTGGGCGTCTTAGTGGAATACCTGTATAATGAGAGAGAGAGAATTAGTGTTTTCCATTTAATTCCACTACTTTATTTGCTTATCCTTGACAGATACGTGTATTTCGTCTACGCGTATCTATCGAGGATAAGCAAATAAAGTAGTGGAATTAAATGGAAAATACTAATCCTTCTCTCTCTCTCATCTACGTTGTTTATGCAACCCCGAATCTGAAAAAGGAGTTTATGAGAAACGAACATAATATTCTTCCGGAATCACAATTGATATTCTCCTAAAACCCATTTATACGGAATCCCAACTGGAATTTCTCCATAATCCCACATGGAAATTATCCGGAATCCTACATGGTTACATGTCGGTATCCATAATGAAAATCCAACAGGAATCATAACTGAGATGGGTTCCTCTATAGTTTCCGAAAACTCTGATAGGAATAACGAATAGGAATTCATTGGAAGCCCAATTAGAAATTCTTGAGATTTCCAAACGGAAATTCTTCAGAATGCAAGGGGTAGCTCACTCCGCACTTCAATCTTGGGTCATCTTTTTTTTTTAGTGTCCCGCTAGCAGGCATGGACAATCATTTGCATTCATTTTGTTCATTCATTTACATTCATTTGCCCCTAACTTTTTTCATCAAAAGAGTTCCGCAAAATGATGTATGGAGTAACTCAAATCCGTATCTCTTATGCATGACGAACCAGAGTAAACAGAATCCACTACTGTTTTTCAGTGAATGTATTTTACATTCACTGAAAAACAGTAACGAGTTCTGCCCACTCTAATTCGTGATGCATAAGAGATACAGATTTGAGTTACAGGTAAAAGTTGTAGCTAAGAACAAAATCTACTAAAGCTCTATACATCATTTTGTGGAATGCTGTTGATGAAAAAAGTTAGAGGCAAATGAATGTAAATGAATGCATGAAATGAATGTAAATGATTGTCCATGCCTGGCCACAAGTGTGCCGCAGGTGTGCTGACTGTGCCAGTCATAGAGCAAGCTGCGATTGTTTGTAAAATAATTTTGTTTTGGTTTGAAATCGCAAGGATAAATTGGTCTAGTGGCATTTCAGATTTAAATCGAAAATTGAACCGAGAAGTGAACTGCTGGTCTGAGTTCCTCTGGTATATTTAATTAAAGGATGATCCTGAATATACAGCTAAACACCACGTAATATTGTGAACAACTTCAGTGACCAGCAGTGCACCCATTTTATTTACAACCATCAAATGCCTACGAGATTGTGCCGAAGGTGTGTTGATGGATGTGCCCAAGCTGTGCCGAATCTAATTTCGGCACAATGTGCTAAGTAACTTACCTCTTGTCGAAATCGTATATGAGCCGTTTCACACCATATGACGAATTGGAAAAACTCGACCTTCTCCTATTTGCATAAAACTTTGCATAATTGTACATTATGAGTAATCATTCACTTTTTTGCAAAAATTCAGCCATTCAAAATGGCGGCTTTGTCATTTTTCAATAAATTGTGCGACGAAAACGTCACTTCTGAACGAAATGATGTCTGAGACAAAGTTGTAGAAATGATCTTCAGCATGTAGGGGAAATGGCTCTAATGTTGGCCTATGGATCTAAGATTGGGCTTATCACTAGATATCTTCTATTTATCAATTTTATCTAGATGAACTTGGGATGGTACTAATGGATATTTTTGGTCGCTATTGAAAATTTAGTCGATTGCTGAATTTATGTATGGGCCCAAATTAGGGGCATTTATGCCGACATTACATTCATTTCCCCTATATCATAGATTTTATAATTTTTGTTTAGAGCGAAGCTCATGAATAGTGCAAACTTTTAGAATATTTAAGACCATGGACACTCGAAAATTGACAAAAATCGTAGAACGAGAATATTTGCTAAAATTTGTGAACATTTTGCTAGTACGGTTTTTAAAGTAATTTCTACACAGGAAACAATATTTCACTATTCGGAATCGTTTTCTGTGCAAAAATTACATAAACATCTTTCGAACGAGAAGTTTAAAAATATGGCCAAAAGTTGATGTTCTTCGATTTTTGTCTTTATTCAAGCGTTAATACTTTTAAATATTCTATTATTTGCAATATATACTTTCTGAGATACTAGAGTTTTTACACTTTTTAAGAATGTTTACCCAAAGTTACTAAAAAAAATTACCATGTATATTTTCCCAGAAAGACTTTACTTTTCTCAACAACTTTGTCATTTCGATCAGGAGTGATGTTTTCGTGCATAAATTTTTCTGAAAAATTTCAAAGAAGTCAATTTGAAAAACATTACAAGATCCAAAATGGCTGAATTTTAGCACATCTGTTAATGATTTCCCATAATACACAATTATCCAAAGTTACAATCAAATCGGAGAAGGTCGAGCCAATTTTTTCTATTTGCTATTTGGCCTGGAACTACTCACGTGGGATTGTTATGCAATCCGAAACCGGAATATCTGTAAATCCTCATAAGGAATATCTTGGAATTAAAAAAATAGTTTTCCCAGAATCCTAAATGACATTTTTCCGGAAGCCTAAACGAGATTCTCCCGTAATCCTTAATGGGATTATCATGGAATAATACAAATTAGACCCAGGAATCATAGCTTTGAATGCTCCAGGATTCAATAAGGGACGCCTCCGGAATATCTAATAAGAATTTATCGAAACCGCGTGTATGAAATAGGGGTAAAATTTTATGGAATCACAACTAAGATTTCTCCAGAAAATATTCCTGAATCAAATATGGAAATTCTCAAGAATTCCACATGGGAATATCGCAGAATTCCAATCGAGAATCAAATATCGAAAAGGATTTTCTAAGATCAAAAATGGGATACTTTGTGAATCCCTAATGAGGCTTTCCCAGAATCCCAAATTGTGTTTTGGAATAGTATGAGCATTTGTGACCACACAAGATTTTGAAATTTTGAAGCTCAGGGAAGTTCCCTTAGAATCACAAAACTTCCCTGGACTGTTTTGGATTTGTCTGAAGTTTTCGTTCCTTCATGAAGTTCCCTAATGTTTCAAAAAGATCTCGGTCTTCTCTAAAATTTCATCAATTTTTCTTATATTCATGGAACTTTCCAAAGGCTCCACAGATTCTTTTTTATGTTATGGAAAACCGCTGAATTTTTCGCAATGTTTCATAATTCCTCTGAACTTTCTTGAAAGTTTGAGCAATTTATGAATGCAATCCGCTCTGAAGGTCATTGAACTTTCACGAAGTACTTGGAATATCCCTGAAAATAATGAAAGTGCCCAAAAATCTATAAACTTCTCTTCAGTTCTTTGGAAATCTCTAAAGAACTCGGAACTGAAGTTTTTGAAAATCATCTGTGTTTCTCGGAACTTGTTTTATGCAATTTCCAAGAAGTTGACTGAAATGCAGGTTCTCTGACCATCCCTGATGTTATCGATGCTGCTTTGAAGTTCTTGCAATTCTCCTCAAGTACTTGGCATTGTCCTGAAACGGAACTGTCCTAAACATCTATCAACTTTCCTGAAAATGTCTGGACTTCTGTAAAGCTCCCAAAACATGTCAAATCTTCTCTTTTATTTTCTAGTTCAATCGCGTTAGCTAAAAGGTCATATTTTCCACTTCCAGCCATCGACACTCTGAAGAACACCTTCCGTGGTTTCAACCCCTGCTCGACGCTTCTCGGATTTGTTCCAATTCTGCAATGGCTGCCCAAGTATAACTGCAAAACCGACCTGATGGGGGATGTCACGGCCGGCATCACTGTGGCCGTCATGCAAATACCTCAGGGCATGGCCTACGGGCTGCTGGCCGGAGTCCAAGCCAACGTTGGACTGTACATGGCCTTTTTCCAGTGTCTGGTCTACGCAGTGCTCGGCACCTCGAGGCACATATCGATGGGCACCTTTGCTGTGATCAGCCTGATGACTGCCAAAGTGGTTGCCACCTATGCAACGCTACCTCCCATAGCGACGTCGTTGGTAAGCTTGATCTGTTTTCTGCAAGAATATGACAGTTGAAGTTAATTTGTTTTCTCCACTATGCTTGCAGGTGAACGGAACTGACTCTCTACCTCCGGTGATAGATCCCTCCGATCCTCAGTATACACCGATCCAGGTGGCAACGGCCTTGGCTTTCGTGTGTGGATGCTATCATGTAAGTAGTAATCAGATCGAACCATTTAAATAAATGCTAATTTTCCTATTGCGCTGGTGCTTCTAGTTCATCATGAGCGTCATGCGGCTTGGTACGCTCTCGTCACTGCTGAGCGAACCGCTGGTCAGTGGGTTTACGACGGCAGCCGCCGTGCACGTGCTGATCAGTCAGCTGAAAGATCTGCTTGGAGTGTCGATCCCTCGGTACAAGGGAGCCTTCAAGAACATTTTCTCCGTTCGGGACATTGTCCAACAGGTCCCGAATAGTAATCTCACGGCCGTCTACACGTCGGCCATTGTGATATTGTTTATGATCTTTATGAACGAATATCTCAAACCGCGGGCGTCCAACTGGTGCAAGATGCCCATTCCGGCCGAGCTGATGGTGGTCGTTGGCGGTACGGTGGCTTCCTACCTCATCGGGCTGGGTCCGAATTTCAACGTGACGCTGGTCGGCACGATTCCAGTTGGGTAAGTTGGTAATTTTATTTTGTGCTTTCGAACTCGCTTGATTTATAACATCCTTGAATTTCCTCAGGGAAATTCTTTGAACATCTTACATTATTTCTTTGAATTTCCTCTAAGAAATTCTTTGAATTTTCTCTAGGAAATTCTTTGAATTTCCTCTAGGAAATTCTTTGAATTTCCTCTGGGAAATCATTTGAATTTTCTCTCGGAAATTCTTTGAATTTCCTCTGTGAAATTCTATGAATTTCTTCTAAGAAATTCTTTCAATTCTCTCTGGGAAATCTTTTGAATTTCCTCTGGGAAATCTTTAAATGTCATCAGATAAATTCTTTGAATTTCATCGGATGAATTCTTTGAATTTCCTCTGGGAAATTCTTTGAATTTCCTCTGGGAAATTCTTTGAATTTCCTCTGGGAAATTCTTTGAATTTCCTCTGGGAAATTCTTTGAATTTCCTCTGGGAAATTCTTTGAATTTCCTCTGGGAAATTCTTTGAATTTCCTCTGGGAAATTCTTTGAATTTCCTCTGGGTAATTCTTTGAATTTCCTCTGGGAAATTCTTTGAATTTCCTCTGGGAAATTCTTTGAATTTCCTCTGGGAAATTCTTTGAATTTCCTCTGGGAAATTCTTTGAATTTCCTCTGGGAAATTCTTTGAATTTCCTCTGGGAAATTCTTTGAATTTCCTCTGGGAAATTGTTTGAATTTCCTCTGGGAAATTCTTTGAATTTCCTCTGGGAAATTCTTTGAATTTCCTCTGGGAAATTCTTTGAATTTCCTCTGGGAAATTCTTTGAATTTCCTCTGGGAAATTGTTTGAATTTCCTCTGGGAAATTCTTTGAATTTCCTCTGGGAAATTCTTTGAATTTCCTCTGGGAAATTCTTTGAATTTCCTCTGGGAAATTCTTTGAATTTCCTCTGGGAAATTCTTTGAATTTCCTCTGGGAAATTCTTTGAATTTCCTCTGGGAAATTCTTTGAATTTCCTCTGGGAAATTCTTTGAATTTCCTCTGGGAAATTCTTTGAATTTCCTCTGGGAAATTCTTTGAATTTCCTCTGGGAAATTCTTTGAATTTCCTCTAGGAAATTCTTTGAATTTCCTCTGGGAAATTCTTTGAATTTCCTCTGGGAAATTCTTTGAATTTCCTCTGGGAAATTCTTTGAATTTCCTCTGGGAAATTCTTTGAATTTCCTCTGGGAAATTCTTTGAATTTCCTCTGGGAAATTCTTTGAATTTCCTCTGGGAAATTCTTTGATTTTCCTCTGGGAAATTCTGTGATTTTCCTCTGGGAAATTCTTTGAATTTCCTCTGGGAAATTCTTTGAATTACCTCTGGGAAATTCTTTGAATTTCCTCTGGGAAATTCTTTGAATTTCCTCTGGGAAATTCTTTGAATTTCCTCTGGGAAATTCTTTGAATTTCCTCTGGGAAATTCTTTGAATTTCCTCTGGGAAATTCTTTGAATTTCCTCTGGGAAATTCTTTGAATTTCCTCTGGGAAATTCTTTGAATTTCCTCTGGGAAATTCTTTGAATTTCCTCTGGGAAATTCTTTGAATTTCCTCTGGGAAATTCTTTGAATTTCCTCTGGGAAATTCTTTGAATTTCCTCTGGGAAATTCTTTGAATTTCCTCTGGGAAATTCTTTGAATTTCCTCTGGGAAATTCTTTGAATTTCCTCTGGGAAATTCTTTGAATTTCCTCTGGGAAATTCTTTGAATTTCCTCTGGGAAATTCTTTCAATTTCCTCTGGGAAATTCTTTGAATTTCCTCTGGGAAATTCTTTGAATTTCGTTTGGGAAATTCTTTTAATTTCCTCTGGGAAATCTTTGAATTTCCTCTGGGAAATTCTATGAATTTTTGCTGAGAAATTCTTTAAATTTCCTCTTAGAAATTCTTCCCATTTTCTCCACGAAATTCTTCGAAAAACTTCCGGGAAATTCTCCAAATTTTCTCCGGGAAGTTCAACGAAGTACCTTCAAGAAAATCATCGAATAAAGTCAGGAAAATTTATCGAGCAAATGCATCGAACTTCCTCCGGGAAATTCATCGAATTTCCTTCGGGAATCATTTGAGTTTCCTCCGGGAAATCCTTTGAATTTCTATTGAATTGCCTCCGTGAAATTCTTAGCTTCTTCTCCGGGAAATTCATAGATTTTATGCTTCAAGAAATTCTTTGTATTTCCATCGGGATATTCTGTGAATTTCTTTTGGGAAACTCTTTGAATTTCCTCCGGGAAATTCTATAAACATCTTTGAATTTTCAGAGAGAAATTCTTTGAATTCTTTATGAAAAATTCTTTGAATGAAATTTCTTGAATTTCGCCTGGGAAATTGCTTTAACTCCCACATGAATTTTTTCTGAATTCTCACAGGCAATTTTATTGGGATTCCCCTGAAAAATGTCTTGAATTTCAACAGGGAAATGTCTTGAATTCCCCGTGGGAAATTTTTTGAACTTTCCCTGGGAACGTTCTTGATTTTCCTCTGAGGAAATTCTTGAATTTTCTCTGAGGAAATTCTTGAATTTCCTCTGAGGAAATTCTTGAATTTCCTCTGAGAAAATTCTTGAATTTCCCCTGGGAAATTTCTATAATTTCCCTTGAGAAACTTGTTGAATTTCCCATGGGAAATTTGTTGAATTTTTCATGGGAGTTTTCTTGAATTTCTCTTGTGGAATTTCTTGATTCTCATCTGAAAAAAATCTTGTACTTCCTCTGAAAAAATTCTTGAATTTCCCCTAAGAATTTTTTTCCTGGGAAATTTCTTTAATTTCCCCTGAGAAATTTGTTGAATTTTCCATGAGAGTTTTCTTGAATTTCTCTTGTGGAATTTCTTGAATTTCCCTTAGGAAAATTCTTGAATTTCCCTGGGAAATTCCTTGAATTGCCTTGGAATGTTTCTTGAATTTCTCCTGGGAAATTTATTCATTTTCCCCTGGGAAATTTCTTGAATATCCTATGGAAATGTATTGAATTATCCAAGGATTTTTTTAATTTCCCTCGGAAATTTTTTGAATTTCCTCAGGAATGTTTCTTCATTTACCGGGGAATTCTTTTGAATTTTGCCTTGAAAATTTCTTGGAATTCCTCTGGAAAATTTCATGAATTTATCCAGGGGAGTTTCATGCCTTTCCTCTAGGATATTTATTGAATTTTTTTTGCCAAGGAAAATGTTAAATTTTCTCCTGAGAACATAAAGAAGTTTCCCCAGGGATTTTTATGGAATTTCCTCTGGGAAATTTGTAGAATTTTCCCAAGGAAATTGATACAAATTTCCTCAGGGAAATTGATTGAATTTCTCTAGGAAAATTTATGGAATTTCCTCAGGGAAATTAATGGAAATTTCTCAGAGAAATTTATGGAAATTTCCAAGGGAAATTTATGGAATATCCCCAGGGGAATTTTTAAATTTTTTCCAGGAAAATTTATGTAATTTGTCCACAGTAATTTATGGAACTTTCCCAGGGAAATATATAATATTTTATGGAATTTTCCAAGGGCAGATTTTTCCCAGGTAAATGTATGAAATTTGCCCAGTTGAATTTATGGAATTTCCCCAGGGAAATTCTTTGAATTTCCGCGAGGAAATTTATTGATGTTCCTGAGGAAAATCTGTTGAATTTCCCAAGGAAATGGTTTTGAATTTCCCAGGGGAAATTAATCGAATTCCACAGGAAATTTTCTTGAATTTCCACAGAGCAATTTCTAGAATTTTCCCTGTAAAATTTCTTGAATTTTCTCTGTGAAATTTTTCGAATTTTCCCTGTGAAATTTCTAGAATTTTCTCTAGCTAATAAGAAAACCATTTTTCAATATCCAAAACTGAATTAATATTTAACAAACTTTCTAAAAAATTCGCAATGTTCGTCCAGATTACTAATCATTTCCCTTAATCTTCTTCTTCCCCTCATTATAGCATCCCCGCACCGATAATGCCCCCTGTTGCGCTAATGCAAGCGGTCGCCATCGATGCGATCGCCATCTCCATCGTCAGCTACTCGATCGTCATGTCGATGGGAATGATCTTCGCCCAGAAGGAAGGATACGAGGTTCGGGCCAACCAGGAACTGATCGCCATGGGTACCACCAACATGATTGGATCGTTTTTCTCCTGCATCCCAACGGCATGCTCCCTATCGCGTTCGTTGATCCAACATCAGTCCGGTGGCAAAACCCAAATAACGGCCGTAGTATCGTCCATTCTCATCCTGGGAGTGCTGCTGTGGATTGGACCGTACTTTGAGTCGCTTCCGCGATGTGTCCTGGCTTCGATCATTTTCGTGGCACTGAAAGGCATGCTGTGGCAGGTTCAGCATATCAAGAAATTCCACCGCGAGGGAACGTTGGAGTTGTTTGTGTGGTTGATTACGTTCCTGAGTGTGGTGATCATCGATATCGACATCGGACTGCTGATCGGGGTGGTGTTTTCGTTGGTGGCGTTGTACATCAAGGGATGGAAGTCCTACTACAGTTTGCTGGGCACGGTTCCAGATACGGCGATCTACGTGGACCTGGGAAGTCATAACCGTGCCGAAGAGGTGCCGCATATCAAGATCTTTAAGTATTCGGGTGCAATCAACTTTGCCAGCAGGGCAACATTTAAGAAGGCACTGACCAAGGAGGTTGGCGTAGATCAGAGCCTGATACGACGGGCATCCCAGTACGATGCGGCTGGAGAGGGAGCGGGACTACAAATCATCAAGACGGTGATTATCGATCTGTCCAGCGTGGCCCACATCGATACATCCGCCTGTAAGATGTTCAGCGAGATTAAGAAGGATCTGAATGCGGTCGGTGTAAATACGCTGATAGCCTGCCCGGCGGATTGCGTGTACGATACGCTGCTGCATGCGGAATCGATCGGAGAGGGTGGTTTCCACATATTCCCGACCGTTCACGACGCGGTGCTGTTTGCACAAGGATCTGCGTCGACTGTTTAAGGCTCGGATCGACCATCACCGATGAATGATGAAGTGCCAAAGAAATTAGGATGCTGTGTGTTAGTGGGTAGTTTACGGCAAGCACGAACGTGATGCACGCGGTGTCAGGTATTAGTGACTGCAGAAAGCTAGTAGCATGCAGGAAAATGTGCCTTTTTTATCATCTCCCGGAAGGAAACTGAAGGGGGACGACTAGACGATATAGCTAAACAAACATATGAAGAGTAGATCATCTTATGAATAACTTAGTACTTAAGGACAGAAGTTGAACAAAATGCGAATAGAAAGTAACAGTAACTGATTCTCGCCATATAAGAAGAAGAAGAGCAACACTATCTCATGTAGTACGAACTGTGTACATCTCTTAATCAATGTCTTACCGGTATGTTGATTTTATCGTTTTGCTCTAATTTACTTCATCGAATATCTTACAGGGATTTATTCGAAAATAGTTTATATATTTTTTTCTGCGTTTCCTATAAAGAAAATTCTTTTTTTTTTCTTATTCAACCACCAAGCCACCTAGTTCTATACCAACAAATACACATTCTCACACCGTACTGTGTATGTGTCGCTGACAATATTTATTGTGAATAAAATGTTGAATATTTCTACGAGATTGTTTGCTGTTTTTTTTTCTTTCTGCTGTATCCGAAATAGCAAGAATTTTGTGTTATGGCATAAAATGTTTGCTTTAGTAAGTAAAACCGTTTTTGGCTACTCATGAATCGAGAAACAGTCGATGGCTGTTCCGGTAATTCCTAGGGAATCGAGAAATACTTTTTAAACATTATTTAACTTCCTAAAGCCTGAATATTCTTCCAAATTTCCCCATTAGTTTTCGTCCAGCTTACACCGTATTTTTTTGGGATTCCACCTGGAAACTTATTTTGACTTCCCTTAGATGCTTCTTCAGCCTTCATTCGAATGATTCTTCCATCATCTTCCACTAGTTTTTTTTTTCCTCAACATTCGTGGAACTTCAGGGATGCTTCCAGATTTTTAATGTGGATCCACACTGAAACATCAGAAAAGTGCATACTTTTGAGTAATTTTAAATACGGTTCCATTAAGTTCTGCTAAAATTCTAAAACCCGGAAATTTCAGGAAAGTACAGCGAACTCCAGTGAACTGAAGGAAACTTCACAAGTCCAAAGAAGGGAAATTCATTAGTATTCAGGATAGTTTCGTTTTTTTTTCTGGAGAATTGAGAGAAATTTAGGGATGCTCCTAGAACATCATGATAGATGAATTAATTTCAAGGAAATGGCTAAAATTTTAAAAGCGTTCCAAGAAACTCCGGCAATTTCCGAAAACTGCAGCAATGTCCCGAGGGGCTCATGCAAATTTAGGAAACATAAGGGAACTGACATGAACATTAGAAAAATGTGATAACATTTTATGGAATGTTCCGTATACTAATGGCAGTGTCGATAACTATTAAAACTTAAAAAAATAAGGAAGATCAGAGAACTTCAATGCTGATGTTACAATAAATTAATAAATTTAAGAAAATTGTGAGAGCAATTAAGAAATATCGTATTCTTCACGAATGTTCAGAGGCATTCAAAGATGATTAGAGACATTCCGGTAGTCTCATTATAACATTATAATCAGGAAAGTTCCGAGTATTTCGAGGATGATCAGATAACTCCTAAAAAGCCCCATTAACTACAGGACTTTTAAGGAATTCCAAGGAATTATGGAATATTCCTAAGAGCATTTAAGGAATATTCCGACATCTTCAGGGGCACTGCGGGCTCTTCAGGGATGTTTTATGAATGTAAGGAAAATTTTCTGAATAGTCAGAACATCCTCCAGGAATCTTTTCTTCCAGAATTATGTCCTTGCCTCTTTTGACTGTTCCGTAACCGCTCTGGCTTCCGACTTTCTCCAGAAGTTTCTTCCAATCTACCTTACCAAGTTTCTGCCAGCGTCTCGAGAATGTTTCTTCCGTCTTCACCAAAAGTTCGATTAAACTTCTCCCAGAAGCCATAGTCAGTGTTGGCAAAATTAGAAATCAATTGATATTTTTCCGCTCCCATGCGCTCGCAATATCACGCGTGATATTGGAACAAAATATCATGCTTGATATTGATTTTACAAGCTCCTTTGATATTGCGAGACTATTCACAACGTGCAAAAATCAAGCTGAGAGTTGACTCGACACAAAAATGATTCCATTGCACATCGTTTTCTTATGGCGGTAAGCTCCAACTCGGATTAACTTTTAATACCGTCCCTGTTTTGATGATCTGCGAATTGTTTGCATAGCATCGTGTTGAATAATTCTGATGTCGACATCAAAGCAGCCGGACATTCTTGATCGGGATTTAATCCGAGGATAATACCGATTGGAGCTTACAGCCATTAGAGAGAGAAAGCATAGTTTGCTATTGGAAGATTGCCGCAAAAGCTCAACGCAGATGTCGCCACTGCATGATGATGATAATGTTGACAGACTGCATATAAAATTCGTGAAAATTAGCATTAAATCATAATTTTCATCAAGCCTGCGTGAAATCCTTCCAATATAACATTCGAATTGAAAAAGAAAAAGTTTTTACGATCAGACTGATTTGCATCTTTGACTTTTCCAGGTGAACTTTCATAAGATATATTCATTTCATTTCACGGCTCCATCGTAAATATGATGGTAAACAGAAGAAAATTGCTCAATTACTCAAAATAAAGATGATTTGTCATCTTATTATAACTTTGAAGACCATCTAGCACCTTTTTATAGCATGGTGCGTGTTGAGTAAATCAAGTTCCGGTGCGTTTTCCGTCGAAAATTGTGAGTATCAATATGTTTGCTTAAAAAAGGCCAAAATGAACATTTATTGAATATTGGCGTCCTATACAACCAATTCTCTATTACCACCAGCATGATACAACCTTTCCTAAGTAAATTCACTTAATTTCCACTTTCATCTTAGTGAAAATCGCACATATTTACCATTTTCTGAAAAATGCAGCTGCGCAGGAGGTAACCTCTCCCTGTGGGTGCAAACTTGTTATGCATAATTTGCCATGAAAACATCTCCGATCCATACCGAAATAATAACAAATAGTTTTCAAACACGTTTTCTTACACGATTCAAGCAAAAGTTTCCACGGGAAATTATTAGTTTTTCTTTATGGACCGATTTGTTCCAAAAAGCGTCTGTTTTACTTGGAAAATTTGGAAACTATCCTCCTTCTAGTAGTTCTCACTTCGAAATGTAGGTTGCGAAAGCTTGGAAAAGTTTCACTGCAAGACGCCAATCTCTTTTAAATCTTCACCGATGGCAGACGCGAAGGTACTGCTGCAAGCCGTTATGGAAGTTTCAGCTGCATTCGGGTGTAAAGCAAAAATCATTAAACTCAATCTCACCACAGTTTGGTGAGATTTGCAGTTGGTGAGTTTTGTTAGCTTGATATTCCGAGCTGCGATATCGCAGCTTGCAAAATCAACCGGAGTTGTTTGCTTGTAGATTTTTGTCTACGAAAATTGAGCGTGATCTTGGGCGTTTAAGAGATTTGATTTTTTGATATTTTCCCAATACTGGCCATAGTTTTTTTATTACCTCTTTTGGAAAGTTTTTTTCGAGCTTCTTCTGGCTTCCCCTGGAAATGGATACTTCTGGAATTAACTTCCGATTCCCGAAACTTTTCTGGCTTCCATTGGATGTGACATCCGATTTTTTTCGGCAAGTTTTTTGTTTTAATATTTGCCAGAAGTTTCTCAATTTTTGTCATGGAAGTTCCCCGGATGTTTTACGACTTTTCTTAGAATTTTCCTCAAACTTCCTCCAGGAGAGCTTCTTTCTTCTTTCTCTGGATGTTTTTCAGCAACCTCCAGAAGCTAATTCAAACATTCTCTAGAGTTTAGTTCCGGAACTGTCCGATCATAGTCCAAAAGTTAAAATTTTCACTTTCATAAACGGGAAAAATATAAAATGAATTAAAATAGTAAATACCAATTGGTTTTAAATCTTTGATAGCGCTAAGCTAAAAAAGATTCTGGCAACGCTGGGCTCCAGAGACGATTATACACGGTAACTCGCAACAACTCAAAATTGAGTCGAACATGCTCATTTCAGCGTGAAGTATACCTAAAGAGCCTGAATTTATAAAGAGACGACATCTTATCCATTTAACAGGTCTTCTGCTCGATTGGAATGACTTTTCCTATGACTTTGATAGACTATCGATTGTTCCAATTTTGACATGTCGCCTCTTTATAAATTTAGCCTCCTTAAGTATACCTATATTTAACTCTGCACACCTTAATTTGTGCCGAGAGATTTAGCTGTGCCGAGAGCTGTGTCAAATGAGCCGAAATCTGTTAATCAAGGCGTCAATATCCCAGAATTTTGGCAACCCTGAATTTATAATGACTTTTGTACTTGTTTATGTTTACATCGGTTTCTCGGTGGAAAAAAACTTAGAAAAAAATTATTTTATGTGTTAGTTTTCCGACTGTGTGTATTATTGAAATTGAAATTTCGGCTATGCAGTCTGGCGAGTTAAACCAGTAGTTTTTTAACTGTCGAAGTATTTAAGCTACGGTTTGGACTCTCCAGACTGCATAGTCTAAACTACAATTATTTTATTTAATGCTGTTGTTAGTACTAAATTCCGTTACACGGAGAACAAATTCGTTAAGTTAAGATAACAATCCTAATAGTTACTTTCGCATGGAAAAATATTGTTGTTTGAAAGAAACCTATAGTTATTCCAACATTAATTTGACCGTCAACTCAATCATATCAACCTAGTAGATTCAACTGTTCATCTTATACTCAATTCAACTATAACTTTTTAAGAGATGAACTAGCCTCAGGCTAAAAATCTCTAAAATAAAGATTTAAAAAAAAAAAAAAAAAACTATAACTTTGATCAATTATAACAACCGTCAAATGTAATTTATTTATATAATTTGGTCTCAAGTGATCATCATAAATCCACATATTTTTAACTTGTGATGCGTAGAGCAGGCGAAAAGATAACTGGCTCTCACGCAGATGAACACGGTTCAAATCTATGTTGAATGTTCTTGTTCACTTTTTTTATGATTTTGCAGTTGTGTTTTTGAGATCGATAAAGAAGCAAAACAAATTTCCTTAATATGTCGATAATGAAGAGCAGCTCGTTTAATAAAAATTGTAAAATTTTGCTTTCCTAACAATAGTTTTCTTGAACCAACTAAAGCATAGTTGTATTTTAAAGTTTGACGTTTGTTCATCTACTGAAAAATATAGTTGAGCCAACTTCGGAGCCAACTATGGACTATAGTTGTTGCCCTCTATGCATAGTCAAATCAACTATAGTTTCGGGTTATCTCTAAAACAATTGAACAATATAGTTAATAAACCGGAAAAATAATTGCGTCTGCTATAATTTGTTCTCCGTGCATCGGTAGGGGTCTTATTTTATAATTTTTCACATATTTTAACGGATTTGCAACTCAAATAACACCACATTAAAAATCCGGAACATTATAACCGCTGGGGTAGTTTTATGAATCTTCACTTTTCTTAACAAAAATATGTGAAGGCACCAGCCGGATAACTGCAAAATCGATACAGAATAAAACAACATATTCCATGTGGATGATGATTACAAGCACCTG